GCCGAACCATGGTACGGAGGTCACCGGTTCCTGGACTCTACACAGCTAAGAATCCGCTGGAAGGTTTCGATCTGCATCAACCCGGACAATGGTCCACCAAGATGCGTGAGGACAGTCGAGCAGTTACGACGACGCCCTTAGGACCGGCCGTCTGTTCTCGAAATTCGGACATTCTCTAAACATATATTTGCCAGTTATGACAGGCCATCGGTTTCCCAGATCGTCGGGTCCAACCAAGGAATGACAGCGTATATACACTCTGTTAAACTGGGCCCCTTGCTTCCTGCTTAAGCTTCCGGAATATACTTTGGAGTTGGAGATGGGGTAGATGCAAATCACATCTGCTTGCGGGGTTCCTGGTTGGGGTGATTGTCCATCCTCATCTTGAGCGTTAAGATTGGGATAACAGCATGAGATGTCACTTCTGGGGGCCTGTGCTGGGTCGCCTCGAAGGTAAAGGACTATTGCTAATGCTAGAAGCGGAAGAAGCACAGCACTCCATATAGGGGGATATAATAGGGGAAGATTATTGGTTTAGACCTCCAACCGATAGACGAGGCTCGTGCGTTCTCATTTGGAGGCCTGCAAGTCTAGTCACAGAAGGAGACTCCTCCGTCCTGGAGGTGACAGACGGACGACACCATGAAAAAACATATTGAGCTAGACTAGTTGCCATTCCACTTGCCAAGTTAGATTGGAGGAGGACGGGAGAATCGTTGTTAGTCACGGGGGGCGGGTTGCCCCTGAAGGATGATCTGCGGTGGATGATGATTCAGGGGCTAAAATGCCTGGGAGGCAACACTATCGTCTGGAAGGTCAAGAAATCGGCCATTGTTGCAAACTGATTGGGGTGGTGGGAAAGGGGTAGATAAAAATAAATGAGAGTCAAACCGATATTGAGTGTGAACACGAAAATTAAGAGGCTTGACCGGGAGGTTCGGAGCAAAAGTAGGGTAGAAAGGAGAGTAAAGTATGGGATGCGACCGGAGTAACTCTCGGTCAGTTGAGTGTACACACCGTAGATGTCCAGCCATAGGAATCACCCGTCGATAGTCATGGAATAATTATCCTGAAGACACATATTCGGAAAGCAAATCAGCCTCACTACAGGTTTCTCCTGTGAGTAAGAATTCATGCCAATCGCTGACCTGACACCAAAGAAGAATGTGTTCCGACCCGCGGCGAGCTGCAGCCAGAGCCCTTCTAGTCTAGTCTAGTCTACTTAGTAGTTGTTTGTCAAGGAGAGAGACATCAAGTGGTGCTAAAGCAACAACGCGTGTTGGCTGGACGGGCACAGGGCCAATCAGGGGGAACCATTGCGGGAAGGGTTCGTGGATCGCCCCAAACTTCCAACTTTCTCACTGCGAACACACGAGGAAAGTTCTCTAGAGTCCCACCCAACTAGAATCGGTCTTTTCTGCATCTCAGACGGGCTAACTATCCACCCACTGGACACACCCACACTACACTACACTGGCAACCAAGCTAGTCTAGTCTAGTTGTTTAGTGTTTCTTTCCCCCCCAACCAAGAGTTTACTACTACTATTAGTATTAGTATTTTGGATGGGCCCTTCCCACTCCCCCCCCCCAGACAACAATGGTTGGTGCTTGTGCTTTCTCCCTTCACTCTTTTCAGCTCCGACATCCATGCGTCTCTAACCCAACTCCTTCTGGCTCCATCCAGATCGTCCTGTCGCGTTGTGTCGTGCCCTTGACATCTGGGGATGAAATTGTTCCCCTCATGCGAGGAGTCCTGCACTGCATAGATTCACACGACCCTTAAAGCACGCGCCCGGTGTGGCCTGGACGAGCCACTTTCCACCCCTTCCCCTCACACAACCCCCCTCCACCCGCTCATTCCAATGAGCCAGTGACTGGCGGATATCTCTTCGCTATTGTAGACTGTCGCCGTTGCCCAGCATGGCATCCATCATGGAGGGGGGCCTACTGCCCATGATTAAATGCTCCAATTGTGGAATGAGCGTGGAAATCTCCTCCATGGGCGATCATGTGTGCGTTAAACCAATGCCAGGTAACTATTCTCCCCAATCTTTCTCTACTTCAACTATGCTGTCCACGGTTGGAATGCAATATGTTGACCAGTCCCTTGCAGCGACTCCTTCGCCCTCTCAATCCCCTCCGCCGCCCCCGCCCAAATCAGACAATGTGTTACCCTCCAGAACTCCCAGCGATGCCTGGGCCTCCAAGTCTGGAAGGTCCGGCCCTCCGCCTCGCATTGACCCTGCAATGGCCAGTATGTTTATTTGGACACCACGCGAGCCTGCGCCATCCATATATTAGAGTTATGCGTCTCATGCAGTTAACACCGGCCTTCCAGATCGTCCCTTCTTGAACCCCGCAAGTCCGATTGCCAACCACGACCCGTTGGTCCCCTCCCCTCTTTCAACGTCTTCAGGTCAGCGATCGCCGTTCAGAGCGCTCCAGCGCAGCCAGACCTCTCCATTGCCCGACGAACCGCAATCCCCGGATTCGATTAACCTGGAAACCGCGTTTGCAACTTTCCCCTTACCCCGTTCCATGTCGGACAGACGCCCGGGTGGTATGTCAAACGCAAAGGACCTCAGGTCAGCACCACCAATGCCATCGGCTCGGTTGGCACCTGCATTGGACGGAAATGCGCTGGATGACGATATGCCTCCGCCACCGCTCCCGAAAGATGACCCTCCGGCGACGGCCATGGGCGTTGGGCATAGACATGGCGCTTCGATAGACAGCAAAAGCAGCTACCGGACATCGCTGGTAAGCACACGGTATGGAGACAATAGGAATTCCAAGCGGTCGACTGCCATGTCGAGCCGCCGGCCTTCCTTTGGAAGCGTCGCGCGCGATCCGTACAAGTTCGTGGATGATGCCCCCCCGGTTCCGTCTGCTGCACCGCAACAACTCCTGCGCCCCTCCAGGATTTCGGACACCTCGGTGGCCGGAGTCGCAGACAAGCGTGAAGGCAGGGGTGAAATATACAGTGGCTTCGATTTTGGGGTGTCGGAACGGCCGACGAGCGCCAAGGCTGAGATTGACCATGTCAATGCGAGCGCACTCCGAGTCTCCTCGCATACCAACAGCAACTCCGATCGTCTGAGCAGCAACCGCGGCTCAGCAGAGTTGTTCTTCCAAAGCCCGTCCCAGAGTTCCTATGGACCCCCGCTCGACTTTGAGCTACCCAACGAGCCGCTGGCTTCGCCTGCCACCCCGGCCAACGGGGAGTACAAGGCCTTCAAGCCACAAAGCTCTGAATTTCTCCAACCAGCAGACGCCGAATCTGGTCGCACCAACGAGCGGGATACCAATCAGAGGAAGGATTCTGATTCCGCTAGCGAGGGAAACAACTCCGTCTCCAACTTCGCACGAGCATTGGGACTAGAGGTCGACCACACCGCGAATGATTCAATTACCTCGTCGGATTCCTCGCCGTCCGACACCACCCGGAGTGGAACGTCACTATCTAGTCTGCCATCGGAAGCCAGCATGTCCCGACGAAAACCCTCAGACCAGGGTCGTCTGGGCGCTGTTGTGGAGGAGGAGAAGAAGTCTCAGCAGCCTGTGCTGGACGAACTGGTCCTCGAAAGTCCGACCGAGCTCGAGCCCCCTCGCATTCCAGAGGCCTTATTCAGCCCGGACTCGCCAACTGACCCTGCCATTAGTCAGGGCAGCCTGTCGCTTGTTTCAGAAAAGAAACCCCGACGTCCTGAAGAGGAGAGCCCACCGCGGCAAGAGGTGGTGCGTTCTGCGACGGCACCGCAGCCGCGACCCTCCCCTCGGCCCAAGGGCCCCTGCCGTGGCTGCGGTGAAATGATTATGGGCAAGTCCGTGTCATCGGCCGATGGCCGTCTGACGGGTCGATACCACCGCGCCTGTTTCGTGTGCTTCCAGTGCCGGACGCCGTTCCAGACGGCTGACTTTTACGTCCTGGAGGACCGTCCCTATTGTGCCCAGCACTATCACGAACGCAACGGCTCCCTTTGCCAAACCTGCAATACTGGCATTGAGGGTCAGTACCTTGAGACTGTTGAACGCCGTGGCCGTGGGCCCGCGGATCGCCAGAAGTTCCACCCGGACTGCCTGAAATGCCGCACCTGCCAGGTTCCCCTGAAGGGGGATTATTTTGAATGGTATGGCCAGGTTTACTGCGAACGTGACGCCCGACGGGCGGCAGCTGCTACTCCACCACCTCGTCCTCGCCGTCCAACCATGCCCTCGTCTCCGTTAGCCCCGTCCGGCCGTGGATATCCCCCACCGCCTCCAGGGTACATGGGCCCTCCTGGCCCTGGTCCTGGTCCTGGCTTTGGACCGCCTCGTGGACGGGGTCGTGGTCTGCGACCCCCCGGCCCAGTCGGTGGGCCATATGCAGCGGCGGGACCCCTTCCTCCCGCGCGACGTTTCCCGGAGCGCCGGACTACCAGGTTGATGATGATATGATATCCCTAATGGCTGTTCTGATGGGCGTTACGCTGCGGACAGCTATCTTTTCTATTTTATGTCTGTTTTCCAAGTTCTCGGGCACACTTTTTTTTGCCCTTCACATTTCCTTGCCATGACCTAGACCTTTCGCCATATACCCTTCTTTTGCATCTCCAGAGATTGGTTCCTCATCGTTAATTTCTTTCTCCCCTGGCTGGCGAGGTTTGAACTGGGGTCGCTTCTCTTCTTCTGTGTTGGTGGTCACCAACAATTCATGATTACACTGCATAATGTCTGGTGTCATCTTGGTGTTTCCAAGCTGGTTGTTCTACTTGGTTGGGTGGCTGGATATCCTTTTGACGGCATGTTAGAGCGTTAATGTATGAATTGATTAATATCACATTAGCAACATTATTGTGCAGTATGTAAAGGTCACTGTAGATTCTCCAAACTAAACATATCGTGTGGTGTGCTGCCTGAGGCTGCCGGATGGACCACCTGACCGGGAAATATATATGTGCCGCAGACTCGAGTATCCCACGACTACCACATTTAGTCCCCTTCCATCAAAGTGTCCATAACTCCGACTGTGGATTTCGCATTGTGTCATCAATTTATCATGTTTCATGCGCACAGTCAGATGGAAATGACTCGCATGGATATTCGGTAAGACCACAATGCTTGCACATCCCTTTTCCTTACTCTACTGGCGGGATTGGGTTGACTACCAGCTCTGATTTTGGTGCCTACTGAACCAGTTGAGTCGAATCTGGGGTAGCACATAACGAAGCTTCTTCGCTTGTCGTCAAACGTACTCAGTCTTGTCCGTAATGAATTTCGACAAAGACAATCCAACTCTGCTAATTCAGCCAGCTCGCAAGAGCTGCGAAGAAAGTCATTATAGGGTCTCAGTGGACAACAACAGATGATACAAGGGTTGACTCACCGTTCTGAAAATATGCATCTTCTTCGTAGCCGATACACCTGGCCGGTCTTGCTTAGTGTTCTCTTCCGCCTGCTGCCCGCTGCAAATCGTACGATTGATACTAGGTGAACTGGTGGGAATGTTGTCTGATATCTTTGGTAGGGTCTTCTTCGGAGGAAGGCTTAGTGGAAAGTGTGGCATTTCCATAACGAGTGGGATATCAGGGGATTGCTCCCCGCCTTCCTGAACATCCATAGTTATGGGGTTGGGATATCCCGCGTACCCAGGAGTCGCTGGTCCTGTGAGTGGCACTGCAGTTCGGGCGATGTATTGGCTTTCCGGAGACTGTGTTTGGGGCACTCGGCTTGGACGACGCTCTCTAGCGGCGCTCTCGATCTGCCTCAACTTTGTGTGCGTAAAGGTCTCTCTGTTCATCATGGCTGTGGAACGGGCCATGTGATATGCACCCAGGGTTTGATTGATGTCCGATGCCAAAGCCTTGTATAGGCGCATTATGTCTTGAGCCTTTGTTTCTGCTTGCACGGCCGATATCCACAGGATTTGGTGGTGATTCTGAAGGCCGGGATCACGCTTGAAAGCTTCGTGTATTTCATCTCGTGTCGATATCATCTCCTTGAGGGCCTTGCTCATATACTCATACAGTGTCTCGGCCATGTCTCTGCACTCAAGAGCGTATACTTGTGATTTGATCATGGGCATACCAGCAGTCTTTGCCTTCAACACGGAGTCGATAGTCTGCCATGACTTGACCGTTTTGTCTTGGAGATGGTTGACCTGGATGATGGCATCTTCGACCAACCCTAGTGTGGGATTCTGATGCGAGCCAGCGCGCGTTGTCCCTAGGGTTGGGATAGCGGTGGGGACATGCACGCCGCCGCGCGGGGTTTCTGGCACTTGCTGTTCAGGCACTTCCCTTTGCGGCTGTTTTCCCTTGGAAAGGTCGCTTTGGGATTCGCATGGGTGGTCTTCATGACGAGCGACCTTCTCGTGATGCTTTCTTTTCCACAAAGTCAGGATTGACCGGCGTCTCTGGGTCTCTCCTTCCCTTTCTTGCCGGGATGCTGGTATGACTTCTATCCCGTTCATCTTTGTGTGTTGGTCCAGCTCAGACTGGAGAGAATCTTCTTCCGAGGTGGTGTCTGTGCGTGCTCTAGCTTTGTGGTGGCCTTCTGTATCGACTTTTGTACTGGTGGAAACATCGGATGATCAGCAAGTGGATGGAGCATTAGCTGGAGAAGAAGGATCGGTGGCACCGATCGAGCAACGAATGAGTTGAAGAAGGCGATGACGTTGGGAGTCTGTGGCTTGTCCAGGCTGCCACACCTCAAGCTGGGTGTACCTCAGAAGACCGATTTGAACCATGGTCAACGGGAAGGGAGTTCCTGTTTGATGGATCAGTGCATTACTGCTACGTCAATGCTCGTCATGCCCAAGCTCTAAAAAGGTTGTCCGTGCGGGCAGCTTCACAAGCTTGTCTGGAACTATAATGCGGACCAACCACAACACATGACTCGTGTTACTACTGTACCAGCTCACCGGTAACACAAGGGGTAAGAAGACCCTTTCTTACTGAAGTTGTAGACATGCACAACATACTCATCAATCTCGGTCTATCCTTCCTCCGAACAAACCAGATCATGCCAGCGCATCTTGCATATCGGCAGCCAGCCACAAGCGGCGGGGGATCTGCAGCATTCCTCACGGAGTCAACAACACTTATATCCCTCCTCCTCCGTCCGGCTCTCTGTCCGTAAAACATTCCTCTCCCACTCTATCAAATACCCATCTCAATAAAACTACCCACCATGGCTGTCCCGTCCGGCCTCCCCAACTACACCCGCCACATAACCAGCCACAACTCCTCCGGCGAGGCCATAATCCACTCCTCCACACCAGGCGACTGGACCAGCATCGGGGAGGACCGATTCGGCTTCAGCGTCGCCTACACCACCTCATCATTCCCACCCGACCTCAACAATGACGCCGACATTTCCACCCACTCAGCCAAAATGGAATCCAAGAACCTCGGGCTCGTCAGCCCCAACGGCACCGTCTGTCGCGTGGTGGACTTCGCACCCAACACAGACCCATTCATGCACCGCACGCGGAGTCTAGACTACGGAGTTGTCCTGGAGGGCGAGATCATCATGGAGTTGGACTCGGGGGAGAAAGTGTTGATGAAGAAGGGCGACATAGCCGTGCAGCGGGGGACGATGCACGGATGGCGCAATCCGAGCAAGGAGAACTGGACGAGAATGCTGTTCGTGCTGCAGGACTGCAAGCCCATCTCTGCGGAGGATGGTAAACAGTTGGGTGAAGATCTGGGAAAGTCGTCGGATCTGCCTCCTTCTGATGGAGCTAATGCATAACTCCAATAACTATCAATACACTAAACTAAGACTCTATACACAAACCGACAATGATAACATATCAAGGAACCCGAATAACAACCTTCCCAAAATGCCCCCCACTCTCCAAGAACCTAAACGCCTGATCAGCCTCCTCAAACCCAAACACCTTCGAAACCACCGGCTTAATGCCCTTCTCTTCATAGAAAGCCACCATCTCCTCAAACCGATCCCTCGGACCATTAATAATCCCCTGCAGCGTAACCGTCCGTCTCAGCGCCAGGAGATTGACATTAATCCGATCTTCCGGATCATCCACCTTGCCGGACACATACCCAATGCAGTTAATCAATCCCCCGAAAGCAATACACTCGAAACTCTTCCTCAGCGTCCTCGCACCCCCAGTCTCAAGAATCACATCCACCCCCTTCCCCTTCGTAATCCGCAGCACCTCCTGATCCCAGTCCGGCGTAGTCCGATAGTTAATCGTGTAATCCGCACCTAACGCCTTCGCTTTCTCTAGCTTTTCATCCGACGACGACGTGATAATCACTACACCCATACACAAACACATTAGCATGCACCCCCAACCCCACCCCCAAAAGGTAGAAAACATACCTATAGCCCCCAACCCCTTCGCAATCTGCAACCCCGCAACCGCCACCCCCCCCGTCCCCTGCAACAGCACCACGACCTCCCCACCCTCACCAGCACCCCGTCCACTCCTCAACTTAATCCTCTCCTCCAAACTCATCCAAGCCGTAACACTCGCAATGGGCAACGTACTCGCCTCCACATCCCCCAGATGGCTAGGCGCCTTCACAAGCCCATGTTCAGGAAACACTCTATGCGTCGCCAACACCCCGGGCTGGGGATGTCCCAGCCCATTCGCCAGTTCCTTGTCGGTGACTTGGCCGGTGATGTGATCGGGTAGGAAAGTCGAGAGCACGCGATCACCGGGCTGGAAGCGGGTCACGTTGGGGCCGATGCGTGTGATGGTGCCGCACATGTCGGAGCAGGGGACTTTGTGCTCGGGGGTGGAGGTCGAGGTGGATTTGTGGTGGGTGTATTCGCCTTTTGTTACTGTTGTTGTTGTTGTGGAGGGTTAGTGGGTGGTAGATGGGGGAGGAGGAGGGTAAAGTGGGATGGAGGGGGGATGGGATGGTACCTTCGACATCGCGATAGTTGAGAGATACGGCGTGGATCTCAACGAGGACTTCGTGATCTCCTGGGGTTGGGATGGGGATGTTGGTGGTGGATTTGGTGAGCGAGGAGAGGCCCGTTAGGGGGGTGGTCCATTGGGTGAGGGACATGTTGTCTCTTCTTTCTTTTTCTATTTGGTTGTGTTTGTAGTAGGGGATGTTGTAGTATATCGAATAAGTTGGATAGTAATTGGGAGGATGTGAAGGATGAGGGGAAGATAAAAAGGAAGAAAAAAGAAGGGGAAAAATTGGAGTAATTGTGTTGATGTCACGATGACCCACTGCGGGGAGGGGGGAAATTTGGGACAATTGATTATCAATCAACAACAACAATAGTGGATGCGGAATTCTTCACGGAAAGGGTTTGCCGAATGGATGGAGTGAGGTGAGGGAAGAAGAGTGGAGACATTAATTGTGGTTGTGGTTGTGGTTTCCGACTGGGTTGGGGAATTGGGGATCGTGGTCTATGGGTTGGTATCTTTTGAGTGGGTGATCTTAGGGGAAATAGCTTTTGTTCTTCATTGGCGTAATTAAGGCAGATATTAGTACAACGCTGTCTGTCTATACAACGCTAGGTAAAGTTATATAGGTTCTTAGAGCAAATATGTGGAAACAAAGAATGTTTGAAATCTGACCAGACATGGTCGTCAGCCACCCTATCTAATAAACACCATAGTAGTGATATTGCTAAGAGTTTTATGCCCTATATCTTATATCTTACATAGCTAATATAAAATGTAATGCAGTACCAAATAATTTGACAGAATATTAACAATCTCATGAGCTTCCAGGATGTCATTAGTATCATCCTATGGCCTATCTTGGTGATGGTAGCCAGGGAGAAAGGATCAAGTGTCGATGAAGTCATCAGGTCATTGAACCTACCTATCATGGTATTAGTAACTTACATTATGTTGAATTTGGTTCTTTACTACTTCTGATCCTTATGAGCCAGCCTCATATATAGATATAAGCTATTAAAGTTTATCAATTAGCATCCTACTAGCTTCATATATGGTTCGGCATTTGCAAGTTATCTAACAAATGATCCTACCACAATAAATGCTTTAGATTTTTAGCTGATTCTTATCAGGTGAACCTGTATCTGTCTGGCTTAATTATAAGCTTTTTGTAGGTAATCGTACAACTTTTACCTCAGCCTCGGGTGACCAGGCGGGCCCCCACACCTCGTAAAGCCTCGCTCGTCTACCATGTCTACACATATTTGTTAAATATACTCTACGAATACCCTGCTCCTCTACAATAATCTAGCTTTCCTTGATGGGATCCTATTAAATCAATGGAATACCGGAGTTTAGTTCCTAGCAGTCGAAATTGTCGTGAACAAAGTCGCAGAAAAAGCGATCAGCAGTGCGAGCCCACACCTGCATCTTTCTCCTACCATTCCATTCCATTTCTTATCCTTCCCCCGCAAGGGATCCAACCTTGGAACTGTTGCGAGGAGTTACTGCAAACGGCCAAGGCTTGATCGCTCCACTCGCAGAGAACCAAGAACCTTGATCATGCGCCCACATAAGGATCCAGCCTTGAAACTACTGTTGCGAGAGCTTACCACCAAGGCCAAGGCTTGGTCGCCAAGAGCACGGAGAACTGAAGTATGTCGATATCGCAGCAAATTGTAATTGAAACTTCATCTATAAGACTCTCGAGCTGTTTATGAGAATACGAGTGGAATAGAGTTTTAGACTAAGTCAATCTCCAAAGTATGACCTGCTCCTAATATGGTGTTGTTAGGCCAACAAAGGCTACTAGTCTGCATCGACAATATAATTCGAAATCAACCCACATTGTTAAATTACACGAGTATCCGTTATGGGGTGAGTCGTGTACTCAGGATAACGTTCGACAAGAAATAGTCAGTATAATATTAGAAAATATTATACATTGATATTATCGTTTTGTCCGCAACATACAAAGACAGAGGTCGCAACTGTTCATACCCACATGCTAGAACACAATACTTGGGTTACACATCTATCTTTTCGTCCTCCGTCTCACGCTTGCGTTTCTGAGAAGGATGCAATAATCCGAAGGCAAACTCAACCATCTCATCAACAAAGCCGGTACAACGGACGTTCCCGTGCCGTATGGCGAAGGTGGTCTCGGCGGCAGTTGTGAGGAACCAGTCTGTGAAACGAGGCGAGGTACAATGTCACGGTAGAAGTTTCGCTCGTGGAGATAGTAGTCTCTTTCGGCGATGAGGAACTGGATCTGCTCAGCCTGCAGCTGCATTAGTTCCTGCAGTTGCTCGGGATCCCCGTGCGAGCGCAGTCTGGGCCGGTGTAGGAGTGCCTTTGCAGGTGATCCAACTTATTCCCTGAGAAAGTGGATTTCTGGGGCCTGCAGCTGGATACTTCCCTACAGAAGGTTATTCTGTCGCACCAAGTGAGCGATGCGGTTGTGGCAGGCTTTTAGCTTGTCTTCATAGTTGTTGCTTGACTTGTCATTGTGAACTTGAGCTTTCTCGATACCCTCGTAGCTTTTGACTGGGTCGCCAAGCTTTCCACGCGGTAGGATAGCGGTATGACCCCTGACTGGCAGGTAAGCAAATGTGCTATGAAGACCAACTTGGTCTCAAGTGTAACACATCATCCTTCTCAGAGATGGAGGTCACATAATCAATAGCTAAGATTGACTCAGAGAGAACCCGTCCCCAACTTTCCTAAGCGATGATAGAGTTGGCTACGCCCAACAGGTCCCTAGCGTGTTTCAGAGTCTAAGCTGAAGTGAGATCATCTAGCTCCATGTCTAGTCCGGGGTGAAAGGTCTTCTATGATTTTTGTTCTACGATTGGAGTGGCCTTGGGGGCTGTGTACACTAGTAAGCCAAGGAGTGATATCGCTTAACTAGATACGTAAATCGTTGTACCAGGACCATGGTGCCAACTAATATCTTTCGTAAGGCTCAAAGTAGCAGCTTCACCATCTAAATTAATTAGTATTACACTGCTTACTACATCTAGTGCTTACTAACTATGGTAACTAGTTAACTATGTTGTTAAATATATTGCTTACTACATATTAGGTGAGACTTGTAGCATCACGTGACCGGTAATATTTCGATATCCATTTAGTATCTTACAAGCGTATCCCATCGTCTCCGTACAGTGTTTCATTAACCGCTAATAAGTTTCAGCCCCCGTAAGGCTTTCCGGATTACGAGGATGTTGTAGTAGATGGAGCAAAGCAAATGATATATATCTTATGATTGTTTGATGAATGTAGACCAATTTATATCTCATGATCCCGGGTTTTTTTGCAATCTCAGGATATTTTCTATAGTGTTATCAATTGGGCTGCATCAAAACATCATGAGCTCCTTTCCACCCCCTCCTACCCAGTCCCTAGGTGAGTAGTCTCCCTCGCCGTAAGTGTGTAATCTAACAAAGCGTGCAGAATGGGAAAAGCTCGGAATCGCACCCATGGATGGTCAGTATATGCCCTGAGACACGAGAACTGAGATACGAGAATATGTAATATGACTGACACTTTCTTCGCTATATAGTAAACGCTCATGTTGAGTGCGAGTATTCGGTGTCTACTGGTCATTGGTCCGAGCCCCGACTGGTTGAAGATCCTTTGCTGCGCATCCATGGTCTCGCGCCAGGGCTCAATTATGGTATGCATGCGTGCCAAAGGCCCTATGTCAATCGCTAACAACGCCATAGGCCAACAAGCATTCGAGGGCATGAAAGGTATTGTGACAAGATACCCGACTACTGATAGGTTTAAAAGAAAACTGAAACTAACTTTACATCAGCCTATCGTGACCCTCAAGGCCAGATCAACGTCTTTCGCC